CCAAACAATCTACTAAGGTGTTTCAATAGATATGTAAGGATTAGAATGGTCCAGATTAGGATGATTGGGATTAACCGATTTATCTTTTTATTTTTTAAATCAAATATTTATTTTATTTTAAACGGATTAGTTTTTCAAGGATTAACAATTTATATTGAAACACCCATATGACCAATACTCACGATATGAAACCAATACAAATTTGAAAATTATTGAAAATATGATAAAATATTTATTTTTTTTAGTATTTTGAGCTCAAATTGTTTTAAATCAATCGAAATATCTCACTGAGTCCTTTGAATAATTTAATTTAAAAATTAGGCATGTTGTTCGCTGAATAAATCGTTGCATAACTTTTAACGGCCACATTCAATACATTTTATTTAATAACGTTTCAATGTGTTTGGCTCAAAGTGTTTTAAAAACTTAAAGAATTTTACCGAATAATTTGAGCCATCAAAATTTAAAATTGATATAGACGTTCGCTCAAAAAATCGTTATACCTTTTAGCGTACAACCCAAATACTTACACGAAGGGTTAAGATCCTTCATGTGGGTTCGCTATAGTCAGGTAAAAATTGTTAGCATTTTTGCCACATTTCTCCAAATACGATACCAACTTCCCCTATAATTTTTTCTACCGCACAAATGGACAAATTATGGTAATCAGATATATCTGGTTCTCACTTACAACGAGTCAAAAAAATCTACCAATGGTCACAAGTGAAGGGAGGTAGTGGTGGAGATTACAAGCGATTGATTGGCATAAGTGTCTTAAAGCTCCTTGGAATAGGCGTTAAACCTCATCGACCGAGTGATGGTTCCGTCAATGGATTGGTTAAACCGTTGAATTACGATCCAATCGTGTGCGGCTGGAGGCAATGGGCCAATTATCATTTGATGGATGGTCATTCGCGTTAAACAGATTGGAGCAGACGCGTGGAGGGGCTCGGCTTAAGTGTAAAAGTTGAGGATTTACATGTAATCCAAATGTAAAGTATTTATCTTTTATCTATAGTTTTTCTGAGAAATTTCGATATTTTAAGAAGTAAAAAAAAGTATCAGAAAATCAAATGAAGTTTTGAAAAATAAACTGATTAAGTATAGAAGAAAATCCTGAGTTTTCGGAACTTATTGGAAAGGACCAATAAAAACTGCTTACATAATCTATTCAATCAATATCTCTTGATATAAAAACAAGGAGGTTAAGATAGGTGGGACATGTAGCATCTTAGAGAAAACTGTTAAGGAGTCTGTAGACAGCAATCGACTTTATTAAATTAACAATATTTACTTATTTATTTTTGCTTTTATGCTGTCTCAAGCCTGTAGCGTCATTGGCAACACCTTCTCTTTACACTCTGTTTTAGAGTTTTATATTTTTTAAAACTTCTAAGGTTTTTTCTTTGTCGATCACGTTTCCTTTTCGGCTTCGTGCCATATGCAATTTCTTTTTTTTTTTATATTTTAGAGCAGTTTTTGATGGCGTGTTGTACTGTTCTTTGAACCCTACATCTCTCGTACGTTGGTGGGTCTAGTTATCTTAGTAGGTAGTAATGTGAAAACTCACAATGCCCAATCCTTAATCTATAGAAGTACTCTCTCTCTCCTTTCGTAGAGAGTCGGTAAGAAGTTTTCCATTATGAACAGTGGCCTTTTATTTCTTTTAATTTAGGTACCTTTTGTTGCCATATTTTATGCCACATGTTTTACAATTCCTTCCTAATATGTTGCAAAAAATCTCCAGGGATTTTGTTAATTATAATAACGGAGTTCTTCCTCACATCCTCGCCATATTGTATGCTTTAACTGCCCTAACGTAAGTGTTTGTTCATTCCCGACAATTCCACAGCATGAAGGGACCCAGAAAACGACATTTTTGTTTTCGTTCTCTTTTCAATTAGTTTCTTATGCAGTTCGTTACCACGGCCCGATTGTAACTCTCAGCTGTCTCAATGTAATCTTATTGCAATCATCTCTCTACTAAATACAGAAGAGATCTCCGAAAGTTTAAAGAACTTTTGAATTCGGGAATTCACCGTAGCGCATCCTACTTCATTGTTTAATTTTGAATCATCTGTATATATATATATATTATATATATATATATATATATATATATATATATATATATATATATATATATATATATACATGTATGTATAATAATTTTTTTTGTAAATTAAGAATAGTAATTTACTGTGAAAATGAACATTTTACTATTGAAACACTAATAGTTGCCAACTGATGGATGTTTGTATTAAAATATATATATTACAACTTGCTCAGGTTATATTTGTTAGTAAAGGACATTTAATGCATTTTTCAAAACAAATTGCATATTAATTCGAATTAGTTCGTGCGAATTAAAACATCATAACCTTTTAACGAGCTTGCGGGAATTTCAGTTAAAAGCTTTTCATATTCCTATTAAAAGTCTAAATCCGATTATATTTCCTGAAAAAGAATTTCTCAGTTTTTTCCTCGCCTCTAAATTATGTTGTAAAGTCCTCGGAAAAAGTTAAAGGATCAGATCGTATTTAAAACAATAAAAACAAGTTTTCCTGTAAATATCTAACTCTCTGGAGTGGTTTAATATTTTTTAAAAAAGGAAAGGTTTTCCAAATGAACCATTTACGTACTTGGAAACAGAAAAGGAAGGATGTAGAACTTGTTTGTAATTTATTTTACCAAGTTTCACTTTAAATAACTATTAAGGTCAGTATAAAAATATGCCTAACAATCGAAAAAAATTAAGGCTTGCTCTATCATACGTTATGCCTAATGATAATGTCAACTGGTAGGACATTATCAACGGTTTCTCCTAAAATATATAATGATATCTTTTTATCCCTAAAATAAAATATTCTAGTGAATTTCAAAATGTATTACGATGTCTCTATATGGATCATCCTTTTGGTATGTATCAACCGATACAGTTTTAAAATTAATCGTATTAAAATTCTAAATAAAACCACGGTTCAACCTTCCCAATTAGATTATGGTTGTTAGTCGTACGAGAACATGCTAATTTAATAGGGAAAAAAAATTAATACGTATAAGCTTTACTCACGGTTGAAGTAAAACTTTTTGATCTCATGGTGGATTTTACGATTAAATTAAAGATAAATCAGTCATGTTATAATTTGAAGAAATATTTAAATTATAAACAATTATACAGTTTAATTAAATTTTAAATAAGAAGTAACATTTAAGTTAATTAGCTTCATTATTCTTCATGCACGAACTCACAACGTAAATTAGAAATAACCAATGCAGCTGTAACAACGCGTTCTTTAAACAAACATCCACATCTAAAAAACGTCTGCCAAGTAAGGTCAGTATAGCTTCATCACCATTTTCATTTGCTAAAAAATATCTATATTAAAAGGTCTAAAAAATTTCTTACGAGAATAAAATCTCTGGATGAAGCCGATTTTGGAAATTCAATAATCTTGATATCCACGGGTTTTGTTTATCAGCAAATACTAAAAAGCGAAAAAGTTCCGCATTTGCAGATTGTATATTTCATAATTCGTAATTTAAAAAAATACAACACGATCCCTACAGACATATTGAAATGTAATTCAATAATCAATAAGGTGCCACTAACTTATACTGTTGCACACGGCACCTAAAGTATAATCAAATAAATAAATAAGATAATGAAATATTTTTATCAGTGTTTGTCTCCGTAATGTGATTTCACCAAGTCATCAAGCGCGAATGAAGAGGCCCGACTTCAATTAAAAGTAATTAAAAAAAACATTTCACTGATATATTATATGATGTATAAGGAGGCAACACTCACATTAGGAAGAAAAAAATATTGAAAAATTAGTACATTCATCCTATAATAAAATACCTCCGGAAAAATAAAAAGGAATTCACACATGTAATTTGAATCCTAATAGCAATCAATTCAATTTTCGGAGTAGAATAAAAATGATAACTTTATTGAGATGGAAAGAATGAAATGTTATATGATATTTAACGAGCAATATCCTGCAATAAACTGGTCGTAGATTGAAATATTGGCTATAACACTGAATAGAAATATGTATACCTTGAAGTAGAAACTCGGTAAAGGAATGACAAATATTAAGTCTTTATTTTATTTATTTTTACGGATTCCTTTTGTATTTTTTAAACAAAAGATATAATGATGTATTGATATGATATGATTGATGTATGATATGATGTATTTTAACAAAAGACTTAGCGAACCTGAAGGTCGGATGCCGACACCACCAATCTCTGTCCAAATTTAAATATATTTATCCAATACGAAATTATTGACGAAGAATGGCAACGTTAAAGGAATTTATAATAACGTTTGACAATTTCTAGGATAATGGCCTACATATCTATGTTCTCATAAACTATTTATTTATATATTCCAACCTCCCATACTACTATGGTAATACGGGTGTTTGCAATAGAGTGTTATTAGACATTAATGCTTAATAGAACACTACTACTAGTTAACATGAGCATGGATGTGCACACAGCTGGCAGTTTTTCTGTTTTATCTTATTCCTCCTTGTTTATCGGTTTCGGCCTACCTTCCAGAATCTTGAGGTCTTTCTTGTCCTCTTCTTTTGGGGGTACCAATACGGATGTGAGCGAGGCCCACCACCGTCTTCCATCCATTTATGGATTCCTTAAACCGCGGGTAATTTTCCTCACTGACTAACTAAGGAAACTCATTTTCAGTGTGCACATAGATTCTCGCGGCTCATTTCATAGTTGATCTTAACGTTTCAAATGCGGTACAGGTCGATGATGATGTCATAAATTCAAATAGGTTTCATTAATTAAGTGTATCAGTTCAATGTGGATCTTCAGTTACTTTCTTCTGGTCTACCGCTAATATACAACTGCCGCTAATATCCTCTCGTAACGACGACAACCAAAAACGTGAACAATTATCCATGCAATTTGTCTGCCTCATTCCTATACAAAAATAATTTCATTTTAATTTCATATCCTAGTCTTTTCTAAGCTTTCTGATTGGTATACGTTCTGTAGTACGAGAGGCAGGTAGAACTTATGTAAACAGGATTCATGACTATAGAAATATTTGAGCGTCGATCCCTAGCAGATTGGAACAGCTCAACCAAAACCCGTCCCAACTTGACCTGTTATATTCTGTGTTTATAATTTTTAAATATACCACTACTGATTCTGTTTATTGTTATTTTATGGAATTTATACAAAGTTCATGAAATATAATGTAATGAAATTCTATTTACACATCAGCATCCACGTTACATAAAACAATTAAATTGTACTGTGTCTCATATGTTTTATGGGAGACATCTAAAATTCATATACTAGATTTCTAGTGTTTGTTGAAAGCGATATGCAAAGTCAGATGGATCGGGGCTAAACGAATGATATTCTGAAGTCTTAAGCGTATTTTTTCTAAATTTCGTTAGAGTTATTTAATTATTGTTTTGTTGCTTTTACCCTGTAGGGTCATTGGCAACACCTTCATGTTAAACACTGTTAGAATCTTAATGTTTCCTTTGCTGTCTTGTATATTTACTTTTAGACTTTGTGCCAAGTCCATTATTTCCTAACAGTTTCAAATATAGAACAGTATTGTATTATATGATTTACTGTCCTTTGGACATTACAGCTCTCGCAGGTCGGAGAACCAAGTCCTCTTAAATTTCTAGTTATTTATTCAAACTATTAATTAATGTCGATTGAAGATAAAGTTTGATAGTTTACTAGGATGTTTATTTTGAAAACTAAGTTATTGACTGATATTAAATGGTAATGCCCAACTGGTAGCGTGTTGCACTTTCGGGATGAATAGCCGACATATAAAAAGATGTATGAGAGATGCTATTCCACCAAAAGTATGACTACCTGTTGCTGGTTCTGGCGCTGGGTGGTAAGGCGGGCCTCGACGCACTGTCTGGTCTCGAGGAAGGCCTGCCTCTTGGCCAGCTCACTCGGGTAGTGGGTCAGCGCTCCGGCCAGGTTCGTCACGAGGAGGAGGATCACCTTCGCTGCCACCTGTAACAACAAAACGGTTCAGGTATTAGTTATAAATTAAATAATATTAGTTGATTAATTATTGGGTATTATCAGAAATTTATTTATTATTTTTATTATAGAAATTTACAACTGTATTAAATGGCAAGTACAAGAAGCAAATATGAACAAGCAACATGACATGTACAACATAAAGAGAAACCATTAGTAGCACTCCAATTATATTTCTATATTAGAAGGTCTCGAGGCCATCTTCTTTTCAGACGCCTCGGAGGTTTATCAGGAATAGAACAGGAAGCAAGGTTGGAAACAAGAGGGTTCGGATGGTTCAGGAGTTTATTATGAAAGGACAGGTATCTGGATTGAGCTAAATCGGAAACATTAAGGTCTTTTTATTTGTGACAAAGGAGGGAACATTAAGGATTTTACGAAGGATTTGGATTGAAGGATTGAAGGGATTGGATACGAGAGGAATTCGGTGGTTTAGTAGAGCTCCAAAGCTCGATCCCGTAAGTCCAAATAGGCCTTACGGGCTATATATCTAGTAATATATATGAGTCTTTTGTAAATAGTTGGAAGTTTAGAGCGTTTTTCTAGTAAGTGCTGGAGTAGTCGGAAACGTCGGGCGGTTTCAAGTCGTTTCAGTCTGGTATGGGGGCTCTAAGTGAGTCGTTTGTCCAGGTGGAATCCTAAGTATCGGATTCGTTCAACAGGGATAAGTGGGGTATTGTTGAAGGATACTGTAGAACAGGAAGTCATAGGTTTATGACGAAGAGTAAAGGTAATTTGATGAAATTTATTTTAATCCTCCAGTTTTGACACCACTTTTCAAGATTTGTGATGTGTGATTGAAGAGTTTGTGATGCAATAGATGGATCGTTATTAATTGATAGGATACACGTATCATCGGCGTAGGTGGTGATGACTATTGGAATGGGTTGGGATGTCAGCTATATAAACTGTATAAAGGATAGTACCTTGAGGAGCATCAGCAAACTGAGAAAACAGAGATGAACAAGCATCGTTATGATTTACTTTGAAGAATTTGTCAGTAAGGTAGAAACGGACAATGAGGAAGTATGTAGTTGGTAGGAATTTACATAGGTTGTACATCAGTCCCGGATGCCAGACTCTATCAAACGCCTTTTCAACATCGAGAAAGACTCCCGTGAAGTACATTCCGCGTTCCTATGCAGAGGAGACCATATTAAAAAATTAAAAACAAAAACCTCAAGTATCTCAAACACCTAACCAGTCAAAGTTGAGACAAACAAGTACAGAACATATCTCGAAAAATACTCCAAAAAAAGAAACAATAACTCAGGAGTGTACAGTGTTATGTCAGGGGTTCCCAACCCAGAGCTCGAAGGCACCACTGTAACCGCGTTACCATAACCTTCATCGGCGATCACCTTACCAACAGACAAACGAATTTTCAACTCAAACGTTTCACTATTCGTTTCTTAAATATATGTATATTGAAAAAATAACAAGATTTTATAAATATCAAATTTAGAAGTAAAAATGAATTATTTGAAAATAATAATTCATTTATGGAAATATTATTATCACAATTGTTTTGATTAATCCCTTTCTTTTGTATTAAAAAAATATGAATGGCACCATTGCTAGCACTGCATTAAACTTTTTCATAACTAATTATAACCAATCGCTTTTAATTAATTTTTAATTCTATATTTAAAACGTCTAAATAAAAAAAATATATATTAATAACATTGATTACGCTTGGTGTTTACTCATTTTCTGTAGAAATAAGTATCATTTGTATTAGAGATAATGAAAAAGTATGCTACTACATGTATATATTTCTTTTTATTGACACCCTCTACATTTTATTTTAAAAAATTATAAACAGTAATCCCCATGCAATTTACATTGAATAAAAACACGTGCCTCTCCACCTAACACATAATTTTTATAAATTTTTTATAAGAATAAATTTATATGTGTTCACAGGTGAAAATAGGTAGAGAACGCCTGAGTTAGGTTGTAACTAGGCTGCTGAAAATGCTATATGCTATTCGGTTACAATCTTCCTAACCTGAGTGTCTTTTGTTTATTTTTGAAAGATGTATTGTATCGTGTTGGCATATCTGATTATTTTGATTTCTGTCCTGATGTTACCTGAATTGGGGAATGTTTAGACAGTTTTACCTACATTTCAGAGACTCGAATATATATAATGTTTCGGTACCTTTAATTATAATTATTATTATGTAACATGGTACTCTGGTTGTTTCAGCTAATCATTATCATTGTGTATTTAAGCAGATAGCAGTATTAATTGGGCTTTAATACTGCTTAATTTAATATGAGGCTTTGCTCGTTGTTATTCGAGTCACTAGAATAATTAATTTATAAATGAAAATTATATATGACATAATTTAATATGATGAATACGACAATATTCAATATGATGAATCCGCCATTACTTAATGTGATGGATTAATAGATAAAAATTGATTAAAAATGGTTTAATGTAAATTAAATATTATTTCATTATTCATTTTTATTTTGTTTTTCTTTGTCCTTATGATAGCAAACTGCTTAGGTCCACTCTTCAGTATACATTTAACATCGTTTTTTATTACTTTATATTAGGGCTGTCCAACCTTTGGCAGGTGTTTCTCGGGTTCGAATTTCACACGCGGTCTAGTACATTGTTAAATTTATTATTATTATTTTTATTATAAATATAAAAACAAATCAAGTTTCTTTCTGATCCGAAAGGGTATTTTAGACTCGGTAGTTTTGATAAAAGTAACGGAATCACTAATGCCCAACCAAACATTCCTTCAAACCTAAGGCGACACTCCCTTGTACATATTATCTTATTCTTAAATATTTTTTTCTGACATATTTTCCATCATTAGACGAGCCTTAGCAGGAGTACCTCAGGGATCAGTACTCGCTCCATTTATGTATATAATATATAAATATGAAATTATACGAAATTCTGACCGGTCTTATGCAGATGAACAATCCTAACTATACACCAAACTCCAACACACACGTCACGTTACTCTATATTACCTAAAAAACTACGTAACTTATAAAACTTACGGAAGTTTGACTCAACCAACACGATTACGCAGTATCTTCACTCTTCTTCTTAAGACTTCCTCTTTATCAATATTTAGGACTAACATTTGTAAGAAGAATGTGGCTCACATGTTAAAATAAAAAAGAAAAACTACTATACTCACTTGTTGTAAGACTTTCTAAATTAAACCAGACGGGACTTTATCTCTTAAGCTTACTTAATTAAGCTAATTTGAATCAACATAAACTATAAACTATACAGTTAGAAACTTTCAAGACTGCAACCTTTACATGCCAATAGTTAGCGACCACAGACTACAAAAAAAAATCACCATAACTTATATGGACATACTAACACCATTCATTCAAGTTCACCACTGAACACTAAAGTAGAAGGCACAAAGCATGTTGGATGAAAGGTCTGTTGGGATAACCTAAAATAATTTAACTCAGGATAGAATAAGATTCCAAAGGTTGTTTTCTACTTCACCTCTATCATTGACATAATATTCAGTGCAATGTCAGGAACTTCTCCAGTTAGCAGTTTTTTGACTGGCGTGTGTTTGAAAAATAGATATTAAAAATAATTTCATACATCAGTTGATAAAATAATATTTACCACCTGTTGTGTAAGTATATCTTAAAAATTTACAATAAGGAATATAGATTTTTAAAAACAAACGCCTACAAAATAGACCAGTTATTTTGAAAGTGGCAGAGTAAAGAAGAGATATACAGGTGTGGCACGCCTGAATATGGCGAAGCCTCGGTTGCGGAATGATGTCTACTTTATTTAATTTTTTTTAAATCGTGTCTTCTTAGGTATGATTTCTAATCTTCGTATACTTGACGCTTATTAGACACTTTTTTTTTTTTTAGTTTCCTCACCAGATCTATACTCGTCGGTCTCAGGGAAACCTTTGGAGATTTTCGGAAAAATACTCGGTAAATGATGCTTGACATTCAAGGCTGAAGGAATAAAGTTGAGACCGGTCTCTGTAAGGAAATTTCCAACAAGGAGAGAGTGTCTTTTTTTTTTATCAACCTGAAAGGAGATTGTTTTCCCTCCAGCTTTTTCAACGTTGCCGTATTAAATTTTCACAACATTCCCTTTTAAATCTAGTCTACCGTAAAATTGACTTTTCTAGTTCAAGTTATTATAAAAATAATTATTTCTTAGAAACTTTAAAAGTCGGTATCTTGACCTTTGAACGTGAACTTAAGTTTTCTAATTTATATTAAAGTATAAGACACAGGTGAGTTCGTTGGACAAACGGATAGACTGGTTCAAGGAACAATCTATTTAATTCACATAACTAGTTGACTAGTACTAAACTGGTCAACCAATATCCCGTGATATGAAGGCACGGAGATTAAGATGGGCGTAGCATGTTGCTCGTAGCAACCCATCTGGAAACCTCTACGTAACAATGAATGCCTCAGTAGATGGCAAAAGACCACGGAATCCCAAAAAGCAGATGGATAGATAAAATCAACAAAGATGCAACAGAGCTACGTACGAATAAATGGAACGAAATAGCCCAAGACAGACAGCGATGGAGCGGGATTGTTAAGGCGGCAAAAGATCTACATAGTCTGTAACAGAAAAAAAAAAAAAACTAGTTGACTATAATACGTTAGTTATTTCATGTTATACTGAGCAGCAAAAATCAAATTTTTGAATGTTTTCAGCACTTCATGAATCAATTCTTACCGATTTTGTGTTGAGAAAAACGAATATGATAACAAATTTTTCTTAGCTCTAGTTTCTGTGATATAAACTAGGTGGAAATATTTCATATTAACGTTGTCCAGTGTTATTATTCATTTCGAGGTTGTATATTTTTATTTAAAAAGTGGTAACATGTCTGTTTTTCAGTTCTGATTAACAAAATACATTGTTTGTTCATAAAATGAAAATGAATTCGTTTTGTTTATTTCCTTCCACAATGTTACACATGTGTTTATATTTTTTATACTATTTCTCTCAAAACGCCCTGACCCACTCGTGTTATCCCTTTCATACTTCTAGTTACTAACGACCTGAATTAAGGTTGAGAAAATAATGTCTCACTATGAGACTATAATAATATCTCACTAAATTTTTGTTGCATATATCCATAAAGTCTTCAGTATTTAAGTGTATGTATTTAGTCTTATTTTTTTTTATTCTGCTGGGTATAGTATTTTGAGTCGCTTGTCCAAAGTATTTCGTTTTATTTTAATAACGCGATTTTCAGATGTTCCTGATACATAAGAAATTATATACTAATGTGGGTCTAAAGTTTTCGAAATGTACTTTTCTCGGCCTGGTCTCCGTTTCTTGGCCAAGACTGTACGAAACAAGGATTTTCAAGCTTGTGCCCGTAGGCGCACAGGAGTCCTCGTGATTATTACATGCGCTCGAAGTACAGTTTTAATAAAAAAAAAATCAATTTTAAAATTAATAAAAGTTGGTTTAGTTTTTTTAAATATTGCTAGAGAGATATTCGAAAACTCTAATACACAGATTAGTATTTTTAATTTATTACTAGTTAGTTATTAGTTGTCACCACTGTTGTAAACTTGTCACCGCACCCCAGAATATATCAGCATCCTTGGGAAATCAAGAAGAAATCGTTCCATACAAAGTCATCAAGTTCCTGGATAGTGAAAGACTTAAAAAACACATTTGACAGGCTTTTTTTTATCTATTTTTTTATTTATTAATTTTTTTTAATCTATTTATTTTTATTCTATTTTCTCTTATTATTATTATTATTTTTATTTATTTTTTTCACTTGATTTTATTTCATTTTAAATTCATTTGTTTATTAATCTCAATTCATTTATTGATTCTACTGCTATTTTTTAAAGTTTATTTATTTATACATTTTTTATACATCTTATTACCTATAAATGTCTATTATTATCCTTATTTATTTATTTTATTCTATCAATCCATTTCTTTATTTCTTTTATTTTTTTTTATTTATTTGTTTTTCTACCAATCATCTAAATAGTATTAAATGATGTTATTTAGTTGATCGGGCGCTTATGACCTGGATGTTTTGCGCCTAGACCTCTGAACAAACAAAACAATCTTGTCATCGCTATAAGATTTTTGAAATATTATATTTTTTCAAGTTACAGTTAGGATTTATTTTATATAAACGTCAGTATATCTAGTAAAATATCGAAATAATTATGATTTGATAATGTAGTTATGATTCATGTAACCTTATTTATTTTTTAATGTTTAAGTTTAGTTGGACTGGCATGATAAATACATGGTATGGGACAGTAATTATATTTTATAAGATGAAAAAAAAGGAAAATTAAATTAAAAAATACATCAATAAAAATGTTCCATTCCAGTTGTTATTGATACCATCATTTCATCAATAGCCCTGGGCTACTAAAGATCTTCGGAGTGAAACTTTGAGTTCAAGTTTGGAGCCTAGGGCAGTAACCGTTCTAAGCCAACAAGCTTTGAGCAACTATTGGCTAATTTTACATCATCTAAACCATTCATAAAGTCTTAAGATAGAATAAGTAATGAAAAAAAATTGTATAAATAAATTTAAAAGCGACAACGGGCTCATTCTCATACTTGATAGAATAATTAAAATCATAAGGAAAAAGTCATTTTCTTCAATATAGGAACTAGAAATAAATTAGTCGGAAAAACACACCGAAAAGCATAAGAACTGAGGAAAATGTATAAATATACGTGAAATCGTTAATAATCCACAAAAAATGTGTTTAACGGCTCCTTGGAACTTTGTAGTTTCAATATCGATTCTCGGTCACTTTAACTTGTTTCTCTGGAAAATTCTCTTCATACCTCGAATAATCTTTTATGATTTTTATTTTATGAACGTTGGATATTCTGCAATAGTGGTTTGCGGTATTCATCTTCAAACTAGCCTTCTCTTCCACTAATAGTGAGTTTCCTTAACCTAAACCTTGGATAGTTTCTTTCCATAATATCGTATCAAAGGTCCATTCTTCCCGTAAACCATGAGCCATCATGGATTCCTCCACTTCCTTATCCCAGGTCTTTCTTGGTCTTCCTCATCTTCTTCATTTCCTTGTTTTCCATAAGTGTACTTCTTTTGGTAGTCTTCCTTCAGACATTCTTTTCAAATTTCCATACCAGCTCAGGCGTTTTATCTCAATCTCTTCCAGAATAGCTCTTTTAGCCATCTTTTCTCTGATGGTCGAATTTTTGAGTTTATCCATTATTATTTGAGATTATCCGCCGCTCGTCTCCAGTAGTACATTTCGGTGGCCGGAAGTTTCTTCACATATAATAAGTGCCTTCACATATATTAACATTTTTTTTATGGCGCTATGATTTTAAACAAAATCCTATTTTGCTTTAATAGCGTATCGCTGTATCCTCTATCACCCTCTTGATTCCATTCCAGCCCCTCTCAATCCTTTCCAAGATACCTTTAATTATCCGGTTAGGTTTACTTAATTCTTTCTTTATTTTTTACTACAGATATTTTTAAAACTATACTTTAAATTTCCTTAGATGAAAATTTCTTTCGTCCAATTCTTCTTTAATTTTACATATTCACTAGTAAGTTATCAGTACGTATTACAAGATAAAATTATAATATATGACCCTTTCAGTTGACAGAATGGCTAACTCCAATTTCAACATTTTATATTATTAACTTTAATGATAGAGTAGAAAAATGTATACCTTTATTCACATTTCTGTATTCCAACACTGCTATCACCTACTCCGGAATCAACTTCAATATATGACTGGATAATCTATACTTTCTGTATAGATTTTATAAATTTTTCTACTAAAAATGTCACTAAAATATCTTTACTAAAAAATGATGAAATTGTTATTCATCCTGTCAACTGAAAGGCTCATATATACATTTTTTTTATCTGTGGCAATATTCGGCTATTTATTTTCATTTATATGCATTTACAGCTTTATTGAATACTATACTTTTTAGTGAAATATTATTCAAAAATCTTTTTATTTATTTGTATTGCGCGTGACTTGTGTTAAAATTCTTGAATACGAATGTTGATCATAACGTAGTAAGCACACATTAAATACATTTTTATTTTTTTATGTTCCACCTCTCTTCGACAGTTAGCAATCTTTACAGAAATTTTAAACAAAATCAGATTTATCTCTCAAAATAAGTTTACGGGGCTTCTGTTGTAAATTATTTCCTTTTATGAGCAATCATATATCGCCAACAAATGATGCATCAACGATCATGTCAAAGTACAAATAAACAGATACAATAGTTTTTTTAACCCTTTGTATGGACGGAAAGAGCACAAAGCTACTTTGATTCCCCTCTCCCACTCCATAATGATGGAACGCCCACGCAGTGTTTTCTGAGCGCTGACCGCATTTATCTGCCCAACTAAATCCGATTCAATAACCGTAGATGTCATTCAGTGCACCGTATTCATTCTATGCAGGTCTAATTAATTACGCGAGCCTTGCAAGAAAATAACGTCGATGGTTTCCATATTATAATCAGTTAAAGTTTCGTTATTTTGATAATTTAAAAAAAAAGAAGTTGTTATTATGTAAAAAGCCTTAAACTACTTTATCGTTCTTCCAATTAAATAGTCATTTCTGATTATCTCTGATACCACAGCGGGCAGAAATCCATTGAAAAACTGATTTTTTTCTAATGCGGATTAGCTACTCCGATCGTGATGGCTATTTGTAACACCATTTGTCCCAATTTCTTTTTAAGGCACATAGAGAACTGATACCTGAAGATGAGTTAAATAGAGAAATACTATTTTCGCCATCTTCTGATTTGGGAATATCTGCACAGTGCCCAAAATATGGAAGGCTATTGCGATGCTCAGTTCAATAATTAGTTGAGATGTGGCCAGCACGGGTTGACTTTTCGATGGTACTTCTATAGGGGAATTCGACTTATATTTACCAGCGCCACCATCCTTTCATGATCCTGTGG